TACTATGGCAGTAAAGGCACTCCGACGAGATAAGCGACAGCACTTTAATATTACAAGTCAAAGTATTTAAAATCCGAAATGGATACAAACTAAATATTCAGTATGACAAACAAATGAATATTCCCTTCTGAGAGGGTATAGTTAGTTTATAGTCGAATAAATACACTTTACCGGAAGTTTATAGTAGCTTGAGCTCCTCCACACTTTCGTTGTGGAGGAGCTGTCAGGTTGTCAGGGGTAACAGTAGTGTGTGTGTGTGTGTGTGGGGGGGGGTGGGGGGGTGGGAGGGGTGATTGACAGTTCCAAGAGCCAATCAGATCACAGCTGTAAATTGACGTTACAACTTCGTAGAAAGTTACCTGAGCTATTCACAGGCATAGTTTAAGGAGTTTAACCGACAGGACGACACACACACCTGGAAATTCCACTTTAAGCGACAATTTGAGTAGGTCTTCAATTTTAACTGAGACGAAGACATTTGGACTCGCTCGTGCCTTGGACCGCAGGTGGATGCAATTAGCAGTTGATTAATCTGTTGCGGGGACATTGGGTAAGCAGCCTACTTTCTCATTTTGTTTTTCATTTCGTCCCTTCTCACTTTTGGTCCGGCTATGATTACTCTTAACACGATGAATAATGAATATTTGATAGTTTGCTTAAATGGTGGAAGCTGATCGGGCTTCAGAACGTGAGCTGTTGTGTATTATTCAACAAAGCTCTGGTACACCTGACTTAATTTCCTCCTTTTCCTCAGTCAGTTGCTCAACAGACTACCATTTCTCATAAGGGTAAAGATGATAAAGCAGACTTGTAGCCTTTGTGATTTCATGTTTACCTATCTACCTCGAAGGAAACAGAAAAGAGGAAGAATACCTGTACGTTTCCCGGCAGTAATTAAAAGTTTATCAAGTGCACTTACAGTCTTATGCAATCCAGCAAAGCAGTCTCGCAATAAAGCCTATATTTGAAGTTTTTGTTGGGTGTTTATTCAGGCTTTTGGGGGCCATAGTTTGGAAGGAATACGTGTATTGGATTTCATAATAGCAGGGAGTCTTTCTATTCTAACTAATTTTGTTTCCTTTTACCTATGTAAATTGCTGGCACAAACAATACAAATCGCATGAAGTCCAATACAGCAACAGCCACAACAACAGTAAGATCTTAAAGGTCAATCACCATATTCCTGACACAGTGTAAAGAGTCTATAAACAGATTTATTGAAGGGCAATTGTATTTGGTTGCATTGCATTGTATACATTTGCCCATAAACATAAAAAGAGCCATCAACGCTGACTTGTTTGTGAAGCTGAGCCTTGGCCCACACTTTGTTTTTTAAGGAAAACATGGTAATGTACAAAAATATAAATAATAATAATTTTGAATCATTTGTTTCCTCACATTTCTCAGTAATGCCAATTTATATCCAAAGTTTGCATGTAAGTCACACATATTATATTCATTTCAGATATGGAGGATTCCAGTCACTTGTACGATGTGTATGAAACAAATGCCCACCCTCCCTGGGCAGACCACCAACATCAGTGTCTGGAGAATCTGGACAATGTGGAGTGTCTCAGGAGGAAGATCAAATTTTACTTTATGAACCCCTGTGAAAAGTATCACGCTCGTGGACGAAAACCATGGAAACTCATGCTGCAGATCATTAAAATTGCCATTATTACCATCCAGGTAGTATTCTCAGACATGATCTGAGCAGATGTTAATTGTATTGTTTCACCACTCTGATAACAAATGTCTTTTCCCATGTCAGTTGGTCTCTTTTGGGCTCAGTAACCAGATGGTTGTCACATTCAAGGAGGAAAATCTAATGACATTTAAGCACCTTTTCTTGAAAGATTATGTTGATGGAAGCATGGAAACATATGCTGTCTACAGACAGAAGGATGTATATGATCACATCGATTACATCATTAAACAGGTAAATGAATGCTAGCATTTTCTTTTTATTTCCTGTTGGTAGCAGGAAACACCATGAAGGCATGACTTTTATTATTCATTTGTCATGATGCTGTAGATCTTTTCCTTTTGCTTTAGTGTTACTGTTAATCATTGTTGGAATTTTATCATTCTACATGCTTATATAGCCAGAAAGCATTACAAGCTCCCATGACAAGCTAGATCTTGTCATGGGATTAGACTTTGTTCATGTCGTTTGATTCAGTCATTTAGTTGGTTATGACTGTATAAATCTGTCATAAAACAGTTACTTAAACAACCTAATCTGCTGCAACTCACCTTTTCAGAAAGTGACTTTCCCACCATGTACAATTCTTGTCAAACTGTCATCAAACTTGACACTTAAATTCTAATTGGTCATTTCTAGTATGGACTTCTGCACAACATCACAGTAGGCAATCATGAATATCAGAAAAATGGTGCTGTCTACAGTCCACTGTCACTGTGTCAGGAGTACTACAGGAACGGTACCGTCTACCCTGGAAATGAGACCTTTGAAATTGATGCCGAAGTGAAAACTGGTATGCAAGATTGTTTGTTTGAGTTATGGAAAATGGAATACTCAACCAGGTTTATTGAGTTTGTTTGGCAAAACATTTGACATTTCTTGTTTTACGTTGCCTTTTTCTTTTTGTTGTGGCTTAACAGAGTGCCTTAAAGTTTATCCGATGTATCACCAGTCATTGCGGGAACTTCTTCCACATTTTGAATTGTATTTCAAAAGGTTTGTACCAAACATTTTTCATCTTTTTAATGCAAAAACATTTTCCTCTCCTGGTTTTGTACTTGAAATGAGAACCACTGTCAGTTCATGTACCTTTTGTGTCTTCCAGGATGCTCTCTGTTAAGATCACATTTGTTCTCAAGGCCATAAATTTACAGACAGTGAGACATCGAGAGCTACCAGACTGCTACGACTTCACTGTGATTGTACGTCACTTGACTTGTTCCCCATGGCTCAGTAAACACTAGTGGATCACACCAGACGTTTGTCTTTTTACCAGTAGTGATATGGAACTTCTGATCATTTTATTTCTGTTTAAACAAGAAGTTCACACAGCACAGATACAGTATGAGTTTAAATGACAATGAAGAAAAATGGAAACAGTCAGTGTGAAACCTGTGTTTATTCAATGAAGCTACTTTAAGAACACAAATCTGAGCAGTCTATTAGTAAGGATGTTTGCACACAGCGCCTGCTATTTACATAGTTAAATGTTAGCTTAAGGGCCTGGCAAGTGAATGTTTAGCTATTTGGGTTGGCCATACAAATGCAGGCCTTTTGTGAAAATTTTCTGTCCTCTGTTTAACAGATCACTTTCAACGACCAAGCTCACAGTGGCAGGATAAAAGTCGACCTGGAAAATGATGTAGACATCAACGAGTGCAGAGACTGGAAAGTAACTGGAGCATGTACGTTTTCTGACTTGATTTTAGAATATACAAAGGAATCATCTGTATTGCTGGGATTCATCATGGCTGTTCTAAAAGTTTGAGACTTGTGTCTGTGCTGCACATAAAATCAGTTTGAAGATGTTCTTCTGTCTCTTCAGATGGGGTAATTTTAATTTTTCTGTTCCCTCAGCTGCTAGAAACATATACCTGACTGTACTGCTTGACTGCCTCATCATTATAACATGCATCACCTCCTTAACACTCTGCGCACGCTCAATGATCAATGGGATTCAACTGCAGCTTGTGAGTACTTTTGTCATCCCACTTAGTTATTTGCTCAGACCTAAGTAAGGTGTGATTGTCTGATACATATCTGTTCATTCTGGTATTAATAAAGCGGAGCCAAGTGCCAAAAACCTTTTATACCCCCTTGTAATTAATACTGAAGGATGGAAGTTGCAATTTTTTAACAGTCTTGAGCAAAACATCGACATGCTCAGTAAGTTTTACTTCCTTATGACATTTCTTCACTTAATTTGTCCATTAATGAAAATGTATAGTATTTATGGATGCAACAGCAGCTAAGAGCATACTTGTCATATCAGTGTTGGTTTTGTGTAAATATCATCTCTATATTTCTATTTTCCAATTAATTTTGACTATAATTTTCTGAGGCTTCAATGAAGCAAATAGGGTCAGCTTAAATTGTGACCTTTCTGGGAGGGACCTTTCTGCTGCCAATTACTTTTTCTATTATTTTTTGATCTCCGTTATAGCAGCCTACAACAGTGGGCCCCCCAGGGGTCCTTGCAGGGGTTCCTGGGGGTCTCCAGCAAAAAGGAGAATAATTTATTTTCATTATAATTGAATCCGTCAGTAACACAATGACAGAATGTATGACTATTTTGGTCATGGGTTTCAAACACTTTCTGTAATAAAATATCTAAAAGATCTTATCAGATGGGGGACCCTGGGACAAAATCAAATGGGAGTCTGTGGTCTAATTTGTGTCAGTTTAGGCGTCCTTGATGTGAAATGACATGACATGTATTTCTTCTGTGCTTAATAGGAGTACACACTCTACTGCAAAACCCACTGCAGTAAAGAAGTCTCACTGTCAGACAAGTTGGAGTTTGTGAACGGTTGGTACATCTTGATCATTGTCAGCGACACACTGACCATCATTGGCTCCATTATGAAGATAGAGATCCAGACTAAGGTAATGGGGATTTAATCAGTGAGACTGATTCATGTTCCAGTCAGTGTAAATTGCAGAGCCTTTCATTACTTTTAACTTCATCAGAATAATAGCTGCTGCCTATAATGCACATGTTGATGTATTGATTCAGCTCAGACAGTGTTTTGAATCTTGCACTATTTCTTCTAGATCCTCACAAGCTATGATGTTTGCAGCATCTTCCTCGGCACAGGCACCATGTTCGTCTGGATTGGGGTTATCCGCTACATGGGCTACTTTAGCAAGTATAATGTAAGACCAGATTATTTATCAAATACAGGACATCAGCATCACAAATGCCACACTGCTTACAACAAAGATCTCATACAGTGCAAATACAAAAGTAGCATTTAACAGTTTTTGCTCTTTTCGCTATCTGTATATGTTTTTGAAAACTGAGTGTAAAACTCTGAAAAAGGGATTTCTTGGTTTTTCATGTAGATCTGCCAGTATTTGAACAAACATCCTCCCTCTTGAAGAAGGCACTTTTTCCGTGTAAACATGATTTAGTGTATAAAACACAAACAATTAAATATTTTCTGCACTTATCGTAAAGCAGTGAACCTTGGCATCACATAAAGAGATAAATAGATTTTTATTTAAAATCCCCTTTGGAAGTTTTTTATGAGGCTCATTCATGATGATTACACCTAATTACCAGAAAATAAGAACTCTTTAACTTGATTATATTGTCAAAGAGAAAATTTATTCCTTCATGTGGTTTTCAGATACTGGTCTTTAGTGTACATTTTTCAGTTCTATTACCATGTGTTCTGTGGCTATTTTCAGATTCTCATCCTGACACTCAGGGCAGCTTTCCCAAATGTTATCCGTTTCATCTGCTGTGCTGGAATCATCTACCTGAGTTATTGTTTTTGTGGCTGGATCGTCATAGGCCCGTATCATGAGAAGGCAAGGGCTATTTGCATAATACAAAGAAAAAGTTTGCAGAATTTAACTGAAAACATTTTAAACTCTAGTTTTATCCCATTTCAACAGCCAATAATCATGAGGACATATAATTAAAATAATCATCACACCTCTCACCCAACATTTTTCCTCTTTGACCTTTTGCTTTAGTTCCGGACCTTAAACACTGTGTCGGAGTGTCTGTTTTCTCTGATCAACGGAGACGACATGTTTCCCACCTTTAAGAACATGAAGCAGAAGAGCAGCCTGGTGTGGGTTTTCAGCAGGGTTTACCTCTATACCTTTGTCTCGCTCTTCATCTACATGATCCTCAGCCTTTTCATTACGATCATCACCGACACCTACGACACCATCAAGGTAAATGTCACTCATTCATTATTAGTGGTCATTTTTATTTTCTGTACTTAATTGGAGATTATGTATGTACTTCTGAATTTCATCGTTATACATAGTCTAATTTGAATGTTTCATTGTAGGAAAAGATGCTTAAAACCCTTAAATGTTTTGACTGAAACTGTCAATTTCTCACTTGTTTCATTTAGCAACAGCAGCAAAGTGGCACCCCGACATCAGAGCTGCAAAAATTCTTGTCAGTTTGTAAAGATCTGCCAAACTCTGGGCTATACAGACTCGAGAAGAACAACAGCTGCTTCTTGAACTGCTGCGTCAACAGGTAAGACCAGATGTCCATTCCACGTTACTCCTGAGACTCTTTATCCTTTGTGATAAAACAGCTTCGACTGTGGTGAAGTAAACCGTTTAGGTATGCCTTATTTGCACATAAAACAGGAGATACAAGTGCAATGTGTTAAAGCACTTTTTAATACTCTGTGCAGTCACTAGATATAACATCTTGAATGGAATCTAAGTCCACCCATTTTCTCCCTTCAGGTGCAGGACAAGTCAAGAGACGCTGACTTCAGAGGCATAGCTGGCCTTTAATGTGGAGATATTGAAAGGCTATATTGTAGAAAACTATAACCGAACGTTCCTTTTATGCTGTTATATTCAGCAGGTGAGAGGGTCTTAAATTTTTTTTTCTTTACCAGTAGGCACCAGTAAGTTTGCTCAGGTGATTGATTTAATGTGAAGGAGAAGTTTTTCAGTGCTGAAAAGACTGAACCCCAGTGACCATGAAGGTTAGAGCTGAAAAAACCGAGACGCTTAAGTCTCGTCTTTATGATGCACTAATACAGAGGACACTTTGTAAATACAAATTCATATTTATATGTAAATGAAAAAAAGACTGACACTGAAATCTGAGATGGTATCGTTCTTCAAAAGCAAAATGTCACGTGGAAGGATCCTAATGTTGAAGACAATGACTCAAGGTTAAATAAATAAGCTGTAAATTCATGAGATTTTATTTCTCCAAGTCAGGAGAATTTATTAATATAAAAGCTAAAATAACATTTCTTTTTTTGCTCACACAAGTTAATCACCTGTAAAATCTTGTTGTTACAAAGAAGAAAAATCCCATTTCAGTTCACGGTAGTAATGTTCCACCCGTGCAACCTTTTAACAATGTAAAATTGACAGTCTTTAAAAGCAATATCCAGACCCAGGTTCCATAAATGGCTCCACTTGTCATCAGTGTAGCAGTAGCAATGGATGTTAACCAAAGATGACTTGTCACTTGACCCTCTGTGATGAGTTATTGTTAGAGGTCTGGGGTCAATTCAAACCAAGCCATGCAATGTTCAACTTTGCTTAACTGCAGAACGTATCAGAGAGGGCCACAGAATGTCTCTTGTCCATCATCATGAAGCAGAAATCCATTCAGTTTGGCTTTTGTCCTTGGATTACAGTGCTCTTAGTCCAAGCAAATAAACAACCCTAAACCACAATTTGTATGAGCGACTTGATGCAAGCCTCCAGAGCAGACAGACATCATCAGTACTGAGATCTCTCATAAACGCAGCCAGCAGGGGTCACCACTAAAAACTAAGGTAGTGACTACCCATAGACCTTGTAAGTTATCTAAAAATAAGTTTATAAGTCTTGAAAACCTAAATTTCCCATGATTTTACAGTCGCAATGACCAGTTCTTAATATTTGAAAGCCTAATTCCTTAAAGAGTTCCTTGTATTCTTGGCAGTCTCACAGGAATGTTGTCAGGACAATCCCAAAAGGCAGGAATCAAATGACTTGTGGCTTACAAAAGAGATAAGATGACAAATCACTCCGTGGAGTCAGTCTGGTTTGGCTTGGGTAACGCCAGGGGGCGGCAGGACTCGCTGCTCCTCCATCCTGTTGGACTGAGAACGCAGGATGAGACTGAAAAAATCCTCATCTGGAACAGTTGGTCCCTTAGTTGTAGAAGGTGGAGCAGCACATCTCTGGTCGTTAAGTCTGGAGCCCTAAAACGTTGTAGAGATAGACAGCACAGTTATATTAGCCAATACTGTTGAGGCTGGTACAAGAAGCCGTTTATGAATCGCTGTAGGGCTGAAATGATAAGTTAAAAATAGATTGAAACTGTTTTTATGGATTAATTTATCAGGCACAAAATTCACTAAAGTGAGGGTTTACTGCTTTTTATATCACAGTAAATGGAATACATTTGGGTTTTGCACTGTTCATTGGACAAAATATTTTGAAGATGTCAACTAAAACTTTGAAAATTGCAATGAGAATTTTTCACTGTTTTCTGGCATTTTATAGACTAAACAATGATAAAAAGAATAATTAGTTGCAGCCCTTGATCAGACAATTTAAAGTTACTCCATTCAAGATAGGAAACAAGCATGCATAAAAGATGAGAAATTTTCCTTAATTCACAATAGTTATAATCTAAACATCCATCTGTCCATTTTTTTATTCATGATAAACTACAAAAATTGTAGCTCTTCAAAATCTTAAACAATCAAATGTGGCCCATTGTTTGTACACATTGTGTAATAGTCGAGACATTTACATTAACATGATTATTTATTTGATTGTAATACAACATAATTGATTCTGTTGAAAGAATAAATCTCCATAGTTCAAACTAAGCTATAAGAAACTTCTGAATTTATACAATTGTGCAGAAAATGTAAGCATCCATGTGCAACAGAATCTTGTTGATCAAACAAATGAGCACTTGGCTCAGGATAAAGCCAATTGTTTCCCATCATGCACTGAGCAGTGAGTCGAGAGCAGCTGCAGCACCTGGCTCTGTAAACTGTAGCCACTTGATCTCATGAGATTATCACCGCCTGTGTCGATGTGACACCGCAGCAAGTCGTGTATTATGCTGAGCCAGACAGTGATCACTGGTGACCGATTCTGTGCAGGCCTTGTTTATATATGTAATCGGCTGAATGCTTGGTCATAATATACCAGTGACACACTGGGTGTTTTCAGGTAGTTTTTTTTTCTTCAGTGATTTTAATCATTTAAACAATCATTTAAAAAAAAAAAAAAAAAAAAAAAAAAAAAAAAAAACCTCAGGACTGAGTCAAAATACACAAAGCAAAAAATGTGTAGGGCTCAGTTCAGACATAAAATAATGCACAAAGATAATGCTTTTGAAATTCTGCCAATTGAACCCTGCAAAAACTGCATAGTTTCCCTCAAACCCGCTGTCTAAACAGAAAAAGATTTACAATAGGTGGATTTATTGCTCTCCAGGAAAGTATCTATGACTTTCAGAGAAGTGGCTGAAAAGAATGTAGATAAAGCTTCAGTTTACTGGTCTTTAATTTCCAAATCATTCCCCTAATAATTCCAGAGAAATGTCCTGGAAAGAATCGCGTAATGTGGTTCTAATTATAGGGAAAATGGAGACAGTGTTCAACTAGTGCACTTCCAGTAAATGAGCTTTTAGTGTAAACTTGAGTCTTTTAGTCAAGGCACAGCAGGTCATATCAGCATAGAAAAATATAAAATCTGCCCACAGGGAAACATACAACTCAACATACATGGAGAATAAAGTTTCTAATAATAAATTCATACTAAATAAAAATATTTAGCTTTTAGTGGATCCGCTCTTCAAATGAAATTTGTATTTCTCTCCATAAATGCTAACAAACTATGTAGTTCTTCCTAGGGAACCTCTATGAAATTATAGACCAGTAAAACAAACATTACTAAAATGTTTATCTTTAATGTGGGAAACACTATTTGCTATGGACACTTTAATAGTGATACAACAATATATAATACAATATACTAGATTTATTTTCCTCACCTGGCACTTAACTAGCATGTCGAAGAAGACATCGTCCCCCTCAGGCTGCTCATTGCTGGCCTCGAGGCAACTGTACAGGGAGGGTGTGTGAGGGGTATCTGTACTGGAGATGGGGGCTGGGAGGAAAAAAAACAAGCATCAGTCACGATGTGAGCAGTGATACTGAGGGAGATGACAAAACTGGGAAATGCCTCGTATTATTTAGTCACCTTGTGGGGGGACTTGGTCTGTGCTGGAGGTGGAGGGTGTACGAGGCGGGCTGGAGGTGCTGAGACGTAAGCCAGGAAAATGGCTCAGGCTGACTCGTTGGTCGTCCAGACGACGGGCCTGGGAGCTGGCCAGCAGCTCCAGGAAATGACCAGGATCCTGCAATGGTATTTCGCACTCCGAAATAGCTAGAAGTAAAGATAATTATTATCCGGGTCATTTGTAACAAATGGAAAACGTTGGCTTGTGCTGGGAACAGTGAGTTGTGTCGTTTTCTCCTTTTCCCAGCATTTAATTCAGATTTTGTAATGGGTAAATACAAGAAAAAGAGACAAAGAGTTTGAGAAGGATGAGATGTTCATGGTTTACAGTAATTCTATGGAACTTAAAGCAACCCTCTGCCCATAATCTACCTTCTGAGCGTCAAATACTCCCCACAGACTTGAAAGTTGGCTGTAAAATAAAAGTAGTTTTGTCCTTCATGGAGCACAAACACTGTGATACACTTGGAATCATGGCTGTTACAGAGGAGTACAATAGAAACATTATTTCAGGATGGACAAAAAGTATCAAAAAAAAAGTATCAAAAAAAAAAAAAAAAAAAAAAGGTCCATGGAGGCTGATGTGCTCAGTGAAAGATGAAACCACAAACCTTTTACATGGAACTCTCAAGGCCAGAAGGGGTGATTGATATTCAAATAAAAGATTTTGGGCGGAGCATCCCTTTAAGTTATTTTCACAACATTTAATATGTAAAGGACACATTCATGGACAAGCTGCATTCACACCATAAAGGGGAAACTGATCGGCCATCCTGCCAGATATGATCACTTAATTGGCTTGTCTCTAATGAAGAAAAAAAATTAACCTAAGAAAAGACTTGAAAAGTAAGTCTGGAAATTGTATTTTTAAGTGGATATGGTGTGAACACAGATGAAAACACAGGGGGTCGACTCACATTTCCTCTCTGCTACAGGTGGGGTGGAGGAGGGAGAGGAATGGGCAGGGAGATGGCTCTGGCCATCCAGTAGAGAGCACCTTTGGTCGTCCATTCTGTTACCCTGGAAACGAGAGAGGAGGTCGAAAAAGCCGTCCTCTCCAATAGTGTCCCAGGATCCTGGCTATTAAAAAAAAAAAAAAAAAAAAACAATACTGGTGAAACAGTGAAACATATAGACTTAATAACATTGTAGACAGGCTTCAGATAATAACAGTAATCAACCTAGTTGACTGGCTTTTAATAATAACAATGAAAATACAGAAAAGAAATGGACAACAGCACAGACATGGACAGATTATCTTCTTATAGAGGCAAATTTTAGTTCTAAAATAAGTGGATTTGTATTTTTTATACTACTAAAAAGTAGTATGTAACATTGTGCTCAGGGATATTGTGATGGGCAATTTTCAGTTTCTGATATTTTGTAGCTAAAGGTTAATTGCTAGAGTAACCAATGATAGAAATAATGGTTTGTTGCAGTCCTGTTTAAATCAGATTCATTTTGATTACCCTATTCATTCTCTAAGCAAATAATCCAAAAATATTTACAACAGCACGATGCAGCAACATTTCACAAAGGCTCCAGATATACTCCAAAACAGACAGTTAATAGAGAGTGCAGTACATGTCAGCTGTTTACCTTAAATCAAAAAATAAAAAATAAAAAAAAATAAACCTTAAATAGGGTAAAAGGTAAAAGCTAAATTTTGCTGTGGAGTTTCTAAAGTTTCTTCACTGCATATTTAAGATACGGGACACTCAGAAGTCAAACAATTTTCATTACGAGTGTAAAGAATTCAGAATTATTTAAAAAGGCAGTTTCATTTGATAAAAATTAACTATTAATTTTGAAACTGACTTAACTTTCCTTTACGCGCACTGGTGTCTGACATTTGTTTGGAAGACATGAGTTAGAAACGATGATCGCAAGTTTCCACATTATTTCTTTCCACAGTTGTAATACTGTACGTTTGGGTTGAGGCTGAGACATTTTTAACTTTCAACTTTTTCTTGAGGTTGAATCATTATTGCCCATAAGACTCTTGTGGGTTCCTGGGATGTTATGAGTAGGCTGGACAATCTACTGTATTTAGAAATACCTTAATAGACACTGGTGTGTCCAGCTCTGGAGTTGTGTGCTTGGTGTAGATTTCATGTTGCTCTTTAGGAGATGACTTGTTGTTCTTGTGCTTCTTGCTTTTCAGTCGGTGGAAGAGGAAGAGCTTAGTGGAAGCCTTGATTGTGTTGTTTTTCGAAGACCCAGGGAACACATCCTCATCCCAGTCCTGTGCATACAGACTGATCATTTTAATTGAACATCACTGACAGATTCATTTTAAAAAGGTTGTTTGAACAGGTTCTTGGGATAAAAGGGAAATTGATCATTATTTTACGCAACAAAATGTTTTACGTGTCTATGAAGGTGTCTGTAGAACATTTATTTTACATTGTTACAATTACTGTTGCTACTGTATGCACCAAAATTTTCTCATAAATTAATTATATTAAAAAAAATTTGAGTGGAGTAGAGCTTACAGGCAGCTTCGTATGTTACAAGCTAGATTTTTATGTCAAGTACAAATTGGGGCAATTTTGGATATGTGTATGCAAAGTAAACAGTTGAACCATTTAATTTGTACAATAGGTTTTAAAATCAGACAGAGCAACTTTCACTGGGTTCAAATGCATTAGACTAAAAAACACACTGCACACATCACAAGTGTTTCTGCCTTGTGAAGTTATTTTACACTGTACATACTGGTTGTGCTGGTGAATCTCCAGGTTGGTTTTTGTCAAAACTTTGAGTCAGTTCCAGGCTCTCTGCACTATCTCTCATCCTCGGTGGAGACTTCACCCCTGAAACAAAGATAGAAAATTCAACAGAGTGGCCACATTTTCAAAAAATATTTATACAGCACTTTTGCAACTACAGTGCAACAGTGATTTAACAAAGCATCACAGACTTTGTTCTCTGAAGATAGATAGATGGAAAATAGATTTTCCCTCGCACAGAGTTTTATATCTGAAATGTGTGCTTTAAGAGAATACTTTTTTTTTTTTTTTTTTTTTTATAAAGGCAAACATGCTGCTAAAAACGCAGTTACACAGATTCACAAGTGTAATGGATCATTGCAACAGATTCGTCAGTGTCATGAAAATAACAGACTATTCTGAGGAGTGGAAATTACCTGAGAGATTTGGGTAAACCTGGTAGCTTACTGGCAGAGCGGAGCTATTAGTATTTGGGTTGCGAAAGATGCTGGGGTGGATGTTGGAGTTGGACTTCAGGCCTACAACCAGACGAAGGTCTGACAAGTTCATCCTGGCTGTGACCTCACTGCTTTTGTCTCCAGTCTGAACCATTGAAAACATCAGTTAGTTAATGTGAATAAAGATTAATTTAAGCATATGAATACAAAAAAAATACAAAGCACATTATTACTATTACTCTTTTTGCATTGGCTTTGTGACTTGTATGTCCATAAAATCCTTACTGTATGTCCATAAAATCCTTACTGTATATATATATATATATATATATATTCTCTGCTGTTCACCATACAACCAGTAGATGGGGATATTGCCTGATGGCAGCTGCAGATTAGACTCAGAGAGGAGGTAAACAGTAAACAGTCACCTCTTTGGCAATTTCCAGATGTTTCTCAGCAAAGTACATGGCTTGCTGGTGATTCCCCAGGGCAGTGTGGGCATTTCCTAGACTCCAGTAAGCTCTTCCTTCACCAACTCTGCAGTGACACACAGAGGAAAAACAGGCCGAGCAGCTTCAGTTGAGATTATGCAAGAATGGGAACGGCATTCATCAAACTATCACATAGTACAATCACAAAAAACTGAAAACAAAGCTCATTTTACAACAGTAGTTGGTCATATTTATTTATTTAATTATTTCATATAAGAATCCATTTGTTCTATTTACAGAGGTAAATAGACACTTTCAAAACCAATAGTTATGGGATTTTAAGAACTCTCCCTCTGTTCCTCCTATTACATCCCATTTTATACCTTAAACATGACTTAAATGACTGGCTGAGGTTGTGCAAGTTTAGACTACCAGAAATCCTGCTTCTTTTTCCTTTGACTTTAAAAAATAGAGAAGTACGCCAACACGACAAATTAGTGCACTGCTTTGTCAGCAGAGCTGTAAACTGACTTCATTCGAAAGTGAAAAAAAAAAAAAAAAGTTGAATCATGCTGGCATACATCTTTTGATCATGTATGTCAGTTCAGTTTATATCCGTTTACATCCATTTGTATGAGCAGCCTTTTAATATTGGGAGTTGATCGAGGTGGAGCCAACTTTCAATTGTGGAAAAAGTAGATCATGTTTTTGGATGAAAGTTGTAATCTGTAAATACAAAGTCCTATTTTTATGTCTAATACTGACGTGTTGTGAAGTTGTTTTTGCCATTCTTTTCCAAAGACAACATTGCAGCATCTGTAGCTTAATGGTTTACCTGTGACTTGATGGGTGTTAGCAGTAAAACCACCAAATTTTAGCAAATGATTAGATCAGGGGCCACCCGCATTCAAACTGTACATGCCAATTATACTTCAAAGGCTACTTTGGCAGGAAAATGGCTTTTATAGCCGATACCTGTCGTTGAGGTCCTGAGCGATGACCAGATGTTTGTGGTGGTAATCAATGGCTCTTTTATAGTCCTGCAGTAGTGTGTAAGTGTTGCCCAGACTGTAACAGGCCTGGGCCTCCACTGCTCTGTCCTTCAAAAGCCTGGCCAGCTGCAGAGTACTCCTGAGGGCAAAACAGAGGAGGAGGAAGAAGGTCAAAGAATGTCTAGGGTGGGTGCAGGAGAATGATGGTTATCTGCTCTCTTTCCAAGGGCTTCTTGGAAAAATTGCTGGAGTATGGGATTGAAAACCTTTGAATTTAATCAGTTACTGCTGCTTCTGAACAACTATATGCCTGTACACAACTCTGTGGTAGTTCTGGAAAACTGTTGTATTCAAAACGTTGCGTTTGTCTTATTCATATGACCAAAACCCCTCCCCCTAATTAGCATTTAAAAACATTAGACAAACATTTAATAAATGGTTTGTAACACACAAATAGTTTGTAGTTGTAAGTATCTCTCAGGATCATTTGTGTGTAAATGTTTATCAACTGCTTATGAATGCTAAATAGGGGCCTTTAAATAAATTGTTGCCAACAAAACTCAGCTGGTGTAATGAATCAATTTCCAACTCAGCTCATTTAAATTTAATGTGATTTCTCTTCTCTAATTGATTTATGGTTGTAAGTGTAATTAAATGTTCTTGCTTATGTCACTTTCACAGTACAAAGAAAACAGAAAAAAAGCATTTCAGCATCAATGTAAAAACAGTGACGAAATGAAAATCAACATCATCAAGAAGCTTGTCCAAGTATCATGATCACTTGGAGAGCTATCTGCAAGTAACAACTATGAGGTTAAGGAGGCCTTGAGCCTCAGATTTACTCACTTGTAATGACCCGCTGCCACTTCAAACTGGCTGAGGAATATGTGAGCATTGCCAAGGTTACAATGGGCCCTCCTCTCAGCAGACTTATCCCCAAACTCTTTAGCGATGAGTAGCCGCTGCCAAACACGACAAACAGTAGGTCATTAAGGTCAGGATTAACAGAAAACACTGAGGTAAATCAAGACAGGGAAGACAACCTTCACAGACATTAGACAAGAAATGCTAAAAATGTCTGTAGATAAAAACTCATATTTTCTTTATTATGTATTAACTAAAACTGTTGCATGGCTCTCAAAACTCAATGTGAAGCAGGTGCTGTAGAGCAGACACTGAAGACATACAGTAATTTTGTCTGTCAGTAGAAGTTTGCCACCTACCTTTTCATGCGCAGCTACGGCAGTTTCAAAATCTCCCAGCAGATAGTAAGTATTACCAAGGTTCCCATAGGTACGGCCCTGTGCTGCCCGATCGCATAACTCCTTCACCAGGGACAGGTTTGCTCTTTGAGAAAAAAGGAGAACAACACAGAAGTCCTCAAGTACAACTCTTGAGATACATTTAACATTTTCAGGATAATTTTTCAGGCCATGCAACACCAAACATTTCCTTTGGTTTCCGTGTGCTGAATTAACTGAGCTACATATAATATATAGTTTAATCTTAACTAAAAGGGAGAGTACCTTTAGTTAAGATTAATTTTGGGGGGATGGCCATCCACATTCAACGCCAAAGACCATCTTTGAACAGAAACAGGGGTTATAATCTCCCTCGATATACAACCCTGTTAGCATATGACCAGAGTTAAATTCTGAGGTCATGTGATGACGATTGAATCAACTCCATGACAACTGAGCAACTCCAGCCACTAAGACTGTAATATGTAGTTAAAAGCTCCCGAAAAAGGCAAGTTGAAAGACGACAGACAAGGTCAAGAATGAACCTTCACATTCAATATTGTTCACTCACCGAGCACTTTATTAGGAACACCTGTACACCTGCATATTCGTGCAATTATCCAGTCAGCCAATCACTTGGCAGCAGTTCAGTGCATACAATCGTACAGATATGGGTCACAAGCGTCAGTCAATTTCAGAGCAAACATCAGAATAGGGAAAAATGTGATCTCAGTGACTTTGACTGTGGCATGATGTTTGTGCCAGATGTTTGAGTATTTTTGAAACTGCTGATCTCCTGGGATTTTCATACACAACAGTTTCCAGAGTTTGTGAAAAACAAAAACGACAGAGTTAGCAGCAGTTCTGCAGACGGGAAACGCCTTGTTAATGAGAGAAGTCAGAGGAGAACGGCCAGACTGTTTGGAGCTGACGGAAAGGCTATGGTAACTCGAATAACCACTCTTTACAACTGTGGTGAGCAGAAAAGCAACTCAGAATGAACAATGCGTTGAACGTTGAGGTGGATGGGCTACAACAGAAGACCACAATGGGTTCCACTCCTGTCAGCCAAAAGCTGAGGCTGCAGTGGACTGGGTTCAACAAAACTGTTCACATCTGACAACAATTAATATCTGAAGCATTTGGCTAAAACTCAATTTTAAGCAACTTACAACCAGGTGGGAGTTCAGCACCTTACTCAAGGACTTTTTGATAAGTGATTATTGTGGAGATCAAACCTGTGACTTTTCACTTGAAGCACCGACACTATCTCACACACACACACACACACACACACACACACAATTATATATATATTATAATATATATATATATATATATATATATATATTTTTAGTTATATTAGCTATATTAGTTCGCTTGTATCATTCCTCGGGGCTTTCACAATAAAAACAAAACAACAACAAAGTCAATGTTTTGAAGTAAACAGTGGTATCAACTCACTCATAGTACTGTGAAGCTTTCCTTAGGGCTATCCTGGCCTCCTCTGGGAACTCTCCTGGCTCTGCTCCAGTCCAGCAGATGCTCTTGCCCTTGGCGTGGTAAACGTTCCCAAAATTATACAGCGCTCGAGCCTGCCCAACCTACAGCACGCACACAAGATTTTCACAGATGGAAACCACAGTGACCACTGTTATAATTATATACTTAAAATATACTGACAGCAGACCTGCTTGTTTGCATGGGGGATGGCAAACTATTCTAGATGTTGTTACGCCGGAGCTCGGCAGTCATCGTGCATACCCAGACTGTTTTGTGGCTGCAGAACATGTTATGTAACAAATTTGGATCCCTTTATTCTGATCAAGGTAAATGAGCCTTTTAGTCACTGACAGAACTTTTTATTTACAGAACAGTGAAAAATTATTCACTCTCTGTTTGCTAAAATAAAAAGAACTGCAGGAATGTTTTGTTTAAATTACTCTATGTTGTAGTTCTAAGTATCACTAGAACTTGACCCACCTTATCATATATGGCTCTCGTGATTTCCAAATGTCTTTGGCAACAAACCACTGCTTCATCATACCGTCCTAAAAGCTTTAATGTGTTCCCAAGGTTCCCACTGGCTTTGGCCTCACCAAGTTCATCTCCAATCGTTCTGGGATTGCAAAGGAGAAAAGAAGCAGCAGGAAATAATTAGACCGCAGTATTAGTGGATTACTGGAGTGTATTAGTACGAAAACACAGGAGGCAAGACAGTAATTTACAACTGCAAGAAGCAATATAGTGGGGTCGTGTTGAGCTATTTAATCATGGGGTGGGGGGCCAATAGAATGGTTTGGAAAGGAGGATGTGGCTTTGGAACAAATTACTATTAAGGTTGTGAAACTGTTCACCTGGTAAGTGTGAGGTCATGCCGATGGTACTCCAAGGCTTTATTATACTCCTGTAGATGAAAGTAGGCATTTCCCAGCTGGCTGTAGATGGCACTGAGGATTTGAAGGTCCTCTGTTCCAACCTGGATGGCAGACTCAAAGAAAGACACACCGGCCCGATAGTCACCAGCCTTACAGAGCCGCTCACCTTCCAGAGCCAGGTCCAGACATGATGACTCCATCCTGCAGGGAAGTGGGATCATTGTGAGAAGTGAGAGTGAATTCTATTTTATGAAATCCTTTGAAATACTTTTTGTAATATCAAGAGGATTTAAAATTTGCCTCACTCTAAATTTGTTTCACAAAGACTGAATGTGATCAACACAACCATTAACTGGATAAATGAAGTTAGGCCAAACACAGGATCAAGGGAGATAAATTAGTACACCTGGAGGTATGTGATAAGCTGCACACAGACACAATATGTGAGCCAAAACTGCCAGAATAACATGCTGGGCAGCAATGTCAAAAGTAGGTATGATTCCTTTTTGTCACAGCCATAACCGTCTTTCTAGCACCTCTTTTTTTTATTTTTTTATTACATGTATCCTGTTCTATGAGAACTAAGGCTGCAACTAGTGATTATTTTCATATTGATTAACCTATCGATTATTTTTCTCAAATAAATGATTGGTCATTTGGTCGATAAAACATCAGAAAATAGTGAATAATGTCCATCCTTGCTTCCTGAAGCCCTAAGTCTTTAAATGTCTTATTTGAGTTTATGATCATAGACGATAAAAGGAAACCAGAAAGGTTTTTCCCTTTTAGATTATTTATCTGTTGATCAACTAATTGATTAATTGACTAACCACTGCAGCTCTGATGAGGACAGGAAAAAAAGATTTAAAAAAGGCACTGGAAACTGGGACCATTACAATTTTAATTTATAAAATTACAGATTTGTCTCTAACATTTCTCCTCCTCCTAATCATAACTTTGGAGACATGGATGATCGTATGATCTGCAGTTGAAAATAAATATTCACCTTGAAATGTTATTTTTTTTTAAAAAAAAGAAAAACATTTGAAAAACTGGAACTAGTGAAAATTTGTAAGAAAAAGACACCATACATATTATTTTTGCTAGATGAATTACCTAAAAGACAATTATCTATGATTCATCTAATTGTTTCTGCACAATTTTGAACAACAATCCATTCATCTCAGAAATGTCCTAAAATGACAAAAAGACAGTGGTATTACTCATAATCAAAAAACACTGCAAATGTATCAACACAGGAGCTTCTTCAGGGCCTTGGATTAAGCCAATAAACCTGACAGATCACTTGAATGAATGATCACATGAGCTCCTCTCAAGCCCTCCATCTTTTCTTACAACTTACTCATATAACAGACAGAGGAACACCATATGTCAAGCAGAGAGAATTCCAGACCCTGTGAAAGCACAGACAAGAACTATAAATCCAAAATAGGACGGAGCATTTCCTGTCTGTCACGAGCACTGAGGCCTAAAAACGCCATATTTACCCTGGAACTAAAGTATGTGCCTCACATCTAACCATGAACACAAAGTAAACTCAGATGTGTCTGTGGTAAGGACTACCATTTTATTTCCTCCACACCCTTTCTAAGAAATAAGATCATCCCTTTTTTTGTGAGCTTTGAGCCACCAGTAACGGAAAAAAACTGAAACATGAGTGAAAGTGTGAGATTACATCATAAGATTGTAAAACAAATCCAGTCATGCATCGATGCACACGATTCACATCTGCAGGACCGGTAATAAGGAAAATCACCATGTAGTTCATTTGTAGGACGCAGTTTTAAAGTTTAAATCTAAAATTTCCATAGCTTAATGTACATAATGCTGGCCGACTAATCTTAAATTTAGACCAACAGCACCTTACTTCTCTGGAGCTAAAAAGACATTATGTTTACGGAATTCAACGTAAAGAAATTAAAAATGCCAACTAGGTTTTTAAGATATCATTTGAATTGAGTCATGCTTTGAGTTCAGATCACATGAAAACAAACTGCATGTATTTTCATTTGAATAATCACAGGTTTATGACTTGAGGTTTGGTGATGTCAACCATCAAAAACAAATAGGGGTTAACTTCTAGCCTCCAACAGGCTGTTTGAGCACTTCTCCCCCCCCCCAAAAAAAATAAACTCTACCAAAGCTTTAGGCATTAGTTCAAGATTGGGTTAAGGTCAGCCCCTCCCAGAAAATGACAATGTTGTATTTACAGGACTAATATGCGTGTTATCCTGTCAATGTCATGTACCAATGATGAATACGGCTTCATATAATTCACATATTATAAAAATAAGTATTTAATCTTAGCTGGAACCTTCTTTCAAAAAGATGTTGCAGAGACTTCAGAAACCTTCATCGGTGCTCAAAGCTTTTCTCTGGACAGCATTTCCATGAAAGTATGTCAGCATGTTATAAAACCTATGGATGGATGGGCCTGACTGTGCCGGTACTCTTAAGCCATTTAAAGATTAAAACATTGTTTCCTGTGTCTAAATGAACATGCTTCCTGACATCTAACTAGATGATTCATCACCTCCGGTCAATGTGAAGAAGTGACTTACTAATGCCCACGCTCACATACCTGTTGCGTCTCCCCATTCTGATGCACTCCAGACAGTTTGACACGAAGGACATTTCAAGCTTCTCGATCTGGAGCAAACACAGCTCTTTCAGCTTAACTTCCTTTACCTCATCTTCCTTCATGTGGATACACATAACGCACACAAGCCACCGTGTCCCGGTCTCATAAGAATAAAGAAAACACAGCTCCCTTGGATCTGCTGCCTTTCTCTAGAGCGCCCTGCTAACTTGTGGTAACAGCAAAACAAAGGACTTAATCCGCTCAGCGTTCACGTCGACCTCAGCAGTCAGGTGCCAGGGTCAGAGACCTTTTGTTTAGGTGAACACAGATTAACACCAAGTTGTTACCATGCAGACATGAACGAGAGAGTGCTCAGCTAGGTTGCAAAATTTAGCTGACTGTTGAATTTCTCTATCACTTAGCCATTGGTAACCTGCATTTCTAAGCCGCCTGATGGTGGGTGTCACATCCAATTAGGCCAGACCTCAATGGTAATTATAGCCACAAGTGGCTCCAGTGAACTCTAAGGCTATTTGCTCAACACTCCATGAAATAATCACTCAGCAGGCAGCCTAGATGGTAGAAATATCCTCTGTTGAAAATAATTCCTCCTCAAAAATAATTTACCTGCATAACAATATATATTTTAATGAGATGGGTTATTCATGCTTGGATTTCTATAATTCTCAATAATTTCTTGGAGTAAATCCCACAGGGACGGCATTCTGATGTATTAGAAAAAAGAAAGCCAGAAATAAATTCACACCACACCACTACCAATCCTTTCTGCAAAGCTTATAGTAACTCAGCTGCAGCCAATCCAGAGAAATCCACTTGTCTGAATTAACTAAGTCTAGTCAATGTGCCCTCTAGGGCAAGAAACAATATGTCAGGACTGCTACAGGCCATGTGACATTAAAGCTGCCACCTCAATTGACCAAAAGCCAGATCAGCTGTTATATAACCGGTGCAAACATTGGGAATAACCCAACCTTAAAGAACAGGAAAGTGTTATATGAGATAATCATGCTTTCTAAATACATCTCTCCCAAACAGCTACTCAAAGAGAAAGAAAGAGTCACAGCTTTTACTTGTGGGTGGGCAACAAAATTTTAAAAACATACCTAACCTCTTCCTGCTTCCTCCTATCTGAAAAAGATATTGCCTCTACTGCTTAACACTGGACCAGCAGGTATCTTGTTATCAGATTGTTCTCAGAAACTGACAGAGAGTAATTCATTTGTGGTGACGCAATATATCAACTTTCAAGGCTTTCTATAAATATATAACTGGTTTAATATATCTATATCTATACACCTATGTCACCAATTAAACACTAGTAAAAACTACTAGAAATGCTTAATAATGTGACAGTAATCTGGAAAATAATCTTCACCAGCACAAATATTATTATTTTAAATATCAATATTAAAAAAGGAAACAATTGCATGAGTGATGAATGTAAAACAATCAGCAATCAGGTTCCAATTCTTTCAATTGTTTCACTTGTGTCATGAAATATTTACACTGTGGTCAGTGAGGACCTCCCGCAGTCTACTCAGGATCATTCATGTGTTGGACAATAAGGTGTCACGTTGCTGCCGCAGAACACACTGTTGTTCCTTATCCTCACAGATATTTGTAAATATACAAATAAAAAGCAAGTACAGATATTATATACAGATAGTATATTGATATATTGAATTATATGTCTGATATTTCCTTAGAAATTAACAATATCATATTAGGCTGCACCTAACACTTATTTTCATAATTTTTTTTTATTAATCTGCTGATTACTTTTCCTAATTTCACAGAAGACTAATTCATATTTGAGCAGCTGTAACCACTAAGTTTTGGATGTTGGCTTAAACATTTACTACTATACATTATTATCAATTGTCAAAATTGTTGCCGATTAACTTTTGAACTGATTTGTTAATTATTTCAGCTCCTACACATAATAAATATTCTGTGGAAAATCATTCTGGCCAATTTTCAGATACTTTTACTGCTCAACTTTATTTTTACAGTCATTTCATGATCAGAAAATATAGAATGACCATACGACCCTTTACGTTACACCTCACACATCAGACACTGTAAACATACAGCCTACCTCTGGCGGACATGAAGTAAATACTCCCTGTCCTGCGCACAGTGCAGAAAAACACTGCCATACATGACAGTCAGCTCAGCAGTCCTAACCAACACAGCCAGAGGAAAAACATGAGGCATCCTTCTCGCCTGCCGAGCGACAGGGAAAACAAACATTTAAAAAAGAAGAAATCTACACAGTGACATATGTCAGAGTGGTCTGGAAAGACTGAACGCTGCCATGCATGGAACAATGTGAGAATTCAACCGCCACACTTTCTCCATCACTCCTCTCATCTTGAAACCGGAGCTGGGGAGCAGGAGTAAACACTCACTGACACTCATTGTCATGTGTTCAGCATATTCTAATTCATTAGTGAAAACAAACACAATTAAGTACTTTGGAGAGGATGCAGATGGGAATGCACTTGAATCAGCAATGCTCCACGGCTTAATCATTTCAACTGCGGCTCAAGCTGCCATAAATTTCTAGAGCAAAAATTATTAGTGGACTAACTGCTTAGCTGACAGAAAACTGTTTCATGAGGAATGGAACTGTTTTAAACACTGAAGTTGTATCTCAGGTCCTGTTCTGTTCTGTTGTGCTTTGTTATATGTGTTGATGTGTGCTGGCATGCAACTTTGTGACACTTATTTTACGCTGTCATTTTGGGTAGGTCTCTCTTGTAAAAGAGATGATGCATCTCAAGAGACCTTCCAGTTAAATAAATAAATAAATAAAGCATTAATTGGCAACAATTCAAAACTTGTGCTCTTGGTTAATTCACTATCTTATAGACTAAAAGAAGTTTGAGAAAATGATCAGCAGACTAATCAATAGTGAAAAATAACCATTAGCTCCCACCTTTGTTAAATACTGAAATATACAGAACACAGCACAAGCTAGTAGTACGAAGGATATTAACTTGATGTATGGCTATTTTGTTGGAAGCATCCGTTCCAAAAGGAGCAGACTGTGGCTCATCACCAACCGTGCTTAGACACACTGCTGCATTCAAATGATGTTCACCTGCCAGTACAGTGCAGAGTGTGTGACAAGAAACCCCACATTAGCTTCACCAGCTTGTACCTTGAAACAATGTAGGAAGTCTTCAAGCTGTTTGAGCCCAAACTCCCACGACCATGTCAAAACAGAATCTGTAGCTTCAACAGACCAAGCAGCGTTTTACCCACTCAGTGATCGTGTTCAGACTGTGAGCTCTTTGTTTTCATCTCTTCTGCACATACCGTTGCACTGAGCTGTTGTGGACTTGTTTGCCTCTCTGTTGGCCTGAATGAGTCGATCCTCCTGTGATCTCACAGAGTGTTTGGCCAAAAAAGTCCAGCTGACTGCTTGATTTTGTTGATTGCATCATTCTTTGTATAAACTCCACTCAGTGAAGTGCAAAAATATAAATAAATAAATAAATAAAATCCCAAGGGTGCCGCTGTGTGTGATGCAGGGAACAATCACACCATGTTCAAAGTCACTGAGTCGCGCTCTTTGTCATATTTGACAAACAATAACTTCTCTTTTTGATCCGTCTGAATGTTTTGCATTATCTTTTTCCCAATGGTGTTTGAGAATTGGGTTGTAGTTATCAAAGTAAAGAAAAAAGTCAATCCGACTTCAGATTAAAAAACTGCAGATTGCTTTTCAAAACTTTTCACTTCATATGTATATGTGTGTTATCAACAGCTCTATAGTTTTCATTTTCACTACCTCTAACCATGTGAGATCCAACAATAGTTTTACAAGAAACTGAAAGACAAATTTACAGATGAGAAATGTGACCATTAAGAAAGAAACTGCAACGAAATACTTGCCCTTTTACTTTTGATTCATTCTCTATAAATCTAAATTGGTGTGAATTTAATGTAAATATCATCTGTTTGCTTTAACTCCTCTGAATGGCTGGGAGGAATGGTGTGTTGTGAAGATTTTGTAAATAAAGAAGGAGTAATTATGTGTCATACAAATATGTGTCAATGACTGAACCATGACCAACACACGAGTGAGTTGGCACAGCACTGTTGTGCCAGGTGCCAATTTATACTTTACTTTACTCACCTTTCTACTTTACTGTTACTTAACTTTTGTACTTCAGCAGAAGGGAAGGTACTTGGGTGGAAACTACATGAATGTACCACAACACAAGTATGAAACAACTCGTTGGAAGCTCTTTGTTCTGGGTTATTTAGTCACATGCGCTGAGGATAAAAGGCCCAATGTGGCTCCTAAACCATAAGCATTTCAATATGAACACACCCAACCAATCCCTCTTCAATTAAGAGATGCTCGCTACAGTGATAACCATATTTTCTTTTGAAGCACACTTATGAGAAACCATCATTAGAGACTTAACCCTAACCCTACACGGGAAAAGAGCCTCACAAGAAAATTTAAACTGAGCAACACTGTAACTGTGGGCTACTCTAATTATTGTCTTTCTAAACTGGTGGAGGATGCTTCATCATGAAGTGAAAGGAGAATATCAATCTTATGTTTTGTAAGGCTACTCGTTTACTGTAATAAATGAGAGCAGATGATTTAAGACCTGCAATTAACACATTTCTGATCAGTCTGAAGCATCCAGACCTCTCAAGTCATCTGGGACAGGTCTGCTCATTGTCCCCAGATTCAAACTATATATAGAGAACGAGCATTTGCATATTTAGAGCACATTCCCTGAAAACTTGAGACCTACTCCAACTCTCAAGTTATTTTAAAATACTTCTCTGTTTGCCACTGCATTGTTTAAGATAAACATGAGATTATCATCTGATTTATTTAATTTAAGGTTATTTGAACCTTCTGCTTCATTTTACAGTTTTAAATCCTATTTATATTGCTTTGCGTGTCTTTTCTTAATGCTCTTTAAATTATATAAACTACAAAGAAACTTGTCTTACCGTTTTTGTGAACTAAAATTACAAAATCCTTTTGTTCTGACAATTTTCTTCAGAGAGAATAGGGAAGCTGCAAGTCACGTTTTTAGTTCAGGTCAGAAGCCTCTTCATGACACAGCCTTGTTGGGGATGAGTGTTTGGGAAATTCACCACTAGAAAGCTGGAAATGAGTCAGTTTAGTATGAACATGCCATCACATGTTTGTTGTCTGACTACACAGCAGGCAATTGAGTGGGCAGACGTTTCAGTCTGTTGACATACAGACGAAGTCGACACGGATGACGGCTTTGTAACAAAAGACGAAAGGCTTTTTGGAAAGTGAGTAAAATAAGCTCGCTAAAGTCAGAAGTAACCGAGGGGCACAGCAACAGGACTGACGCCAAAACATTTCAGGTAATTATTTCACCTACCTCAAACTGAAGTACGCGAATACACCACAGACATGGCTCCAGCTTCAAAAGAAATGTTAATCAACTCAAAAGCTTCCAAACTAATCTTTTCACTCAGATGTTTACAGTTAACCAACTACTCCCTCGCCCTTGTGGAGGAGGATGACTCCGCTGTCTCGGGTTGAAGTAGCCACTCCTCGCACTGAAAATCTGACTCCAATTAGGATTCAACTGTTGCTGCTTTCAAGTGCAGTCGGAAATGTCGACGTTGCCGCTTATACGCGCCTGATCGACCAATCGAAACGGTAAATACAGGCTATAAATCTGACGTTAAGGGGGCGTGGAAAAGTTGAAGGTCCTCGCTGATGGACGTTCACCTCTTAAACAGCAACATGGTGAATGACCTGACTTCATTAGACATGGTCTCGACGTATCACTTACATTTGAAGGTCTCTCCCGCCCCCTGCAGCACGTAGTGGCTCGTTGCTACTTCTTTACTAAAATACACACAAATAACAGCCGCTAAATTACACAAATGCTCTGTTTTCTTTGAAAAATATTCAAACAAAATCAGGGCAGTGAAATAGTTAGCTTGTTAAAAGTTAGCTGGATTAACTTCCCAGGGAGCCCTTGGGCAAACATTTATTGTTGGACCCCATTTGACCCCCCAATAGGCTACACATGGTAGTTTCATTCAGCCCCTCAGATACCAGTCAGTACTGGTTCAATGATGATTTTAGTCATTTTTTTAAAGCAAAAATGACAACAACAAAAAAAAATCACTGACATCAGTCAGCCTCTAAGAATATTTGCTGTTTTTTTGCAGTATTTCTGTGACAGTAAATCCAATTTCCAATAGACAGATTAAACTGTTGCATCTTGACCTGTGGGGTTTGCGCTGTCTTGGCCGTGTTTCATCTCCGCTGTCACCAGACTTCACTGCTCATGTTTGGTGAGTGGTTTTTAAGAGGACAAGTTTCAGACTGGCGCTGAGTCACTTATCAGAGATTCTGCTGAGCGACACTCCAGCCATATAAGGGATGACTTATTACATCTCCAGGCTTTTCTCCTCTGTGTCGGGCTGCTCTTTCTAATAGCTCCAGTTGCTGTGTTGAAAAAAAAAAGAGCCCACTTTGGGTATCTGTAAGCCTTTAAAGCTTTCCTGAGATGTTTGCACCTGTCTTTCACTTCAGTGCTGTTTGGCACAGTCTCAACAATAATAAACCCAGAATTCTCCTCTGCTTCACTGCACGTCTTTACAAAGCTGTCCCTAGCCGAGTGGTCGTGTTCTCTGTCTCCATAATGATGGTGGGGAGTATAATGTTATACTTACCTCAGTGTAAAGGCCCAAACTATTAAAATAAGACTTAGGTCGTACAGTAAAACAACAAGAATTTCCTTTAAAGTAAAGTTAAAGAGCAGAATTTTCCTTTAAAGCAGGAACATTATACACACACAAAAATATTTGGAGCAATCACATGCTTTTTCTCACTTTCTGAAGATTTTTTGTTTCAAACTAAATTAAATGACCAATCATTTAAACTACAAAATGTCAGAAAATATTAAAAAAAAATGCCCATCACAATTTCCGAGAGCCCAAAGTGATGTGTTCAAATGTCCCACTTCACACAAATAGCAGAAAGCCATCACATTTATGAAGCTGGAATTATAGCAGGTGTTTGTTTTGTCCTATGAATTTCTTTACAACAATTCATTGATAACAAAAACAACTTTTGGCTAATAGAGAAATCAAATAAGCATTTTTCATCCCTTAAATATTCAGCAAAATTGTATGACTTTATACCACCAAAATATCTACTGTAAGTATTGTCAGACTGTTATCTCAAGTCTATAAGTTTTCCAAGTAGTTGTCAGAGGATTAAAACCAAGATTTATTCAAATTGTTCAAATGTTTGAAGCCATTTTCAAATACATATGGTTTAAGCAATGGCTGCTTTGGGAGCAGTGCAACAGTTGCAGCAGAGAGGTCATTTCAGGGCTAGTGAAAAAGAGATAGTATTCCTCTCATTAGCACAAATTATTACAGGCCTCCAGCGACAGGGAGCACAGCAGTTTACTGGGGCTGCTGTCTCAGTGGATAAATTAAAGATGAACAAATGGACTCCTAAGCAGCACCAGTTAAACTGTGGTGTATCGAGCCGGACCAGGACAGGAGCGAAAAGGAGAGAGCCCACCAGGGAAATCAGACAGAAAGACAGGGTTGTGCGAGGGTGAAGTCTGCATCAAGGCCTGCCGTTTCTTGCGGTCACGCCTCTGGTAGCGGAAGTTAAAGGGTGGACGCAGCGCTACTGGACCTCCAATCTCTTCTGAGGATGAATCAAATGGCCCAGCAACTGGTGGTTGTTGTTGCTGGTTGACTAACCCTTCAAAGGACTCACTGGAAGAGGAGGTGAGGGGGTTAGACGGGTTAACCACAACTGAGGGGTCAAAGGGCAGAGGGTGAATGGGTGTGGGGTCATATGGCACAGGGTGAATGGGTGTGGGGTCAAATGGCGCTGGTTGAACAGCAGGGAGCGATGTTGGGTCAGAGGGAACAGGCTCTGGATCTTTTCCTGGGTCATCGATCAGAGCAGGGAAGGTTGGGCTCACAGGGTCTTGGGGGAGGTCGTGAACCTGCGGCTGCAGTGGTCTGAGGATGTCCACATTCTGCAGACAAACAGACAAGATCACACCCAACTGATGTGTCACAGACTCACTCAACTGGCTATAAAAAAAAGAGTTCCAGTCTTGCAATATTACATTACACACAACAACTCTAGACAGAAGCGAGAAGACAACATAATTATAGCACCGAACCATACAATTTGAAATCTCACACATATGTTTAAACACGCACAAGCACAACACACATTTGAAGACACAGGAGGAGCATGTGAGATATGACAGAATAATTATATGACCAGTGGCATCCATTCAGAAAGTTAAATTATCCTTTTAAAGGTTGCTTTAGTAAAATCTGAATCAAAACACAGCATAAAACATTCATCAAATCTAGGTCACACAACTTGCAGTCCCACAGGATGAAATGATTGGCACTTCCCCGTCACATTTTACTTAAGTGTTTGCACTTTCACCCACTTTGCGTCTTTTAATTCAGTTTAATGTTCGCTTCTTTCTTGGATTGTACATACACTATATTTTTTTCTTCTGCTGTAAGTGGTAATCATCTCACTGCTGTTTTCAAGTATTTAATGTATTGTCATGGTTTCACAGATTTTGACAGAGGAGACAGAGGGGGAAAAAATGTTGAATTTCACATGCAAACTGGAGTGGAAAGCATCCTCCCAACTATTATTCATTTTTCATGTCAAGAAAAAATGAGAAAACTGTTGAAATATTAGTTTAGTTGCATGTAAATAAGCTGGAATTTTCATTAATTTGGACATACTGATTGTGTACATTTGTTGTCACTTTTTGGCTCATTTAAGAAATTACTGCTGCCACTTTGGCTTAATTATCTCAGATATAAGATGGTAAATAATCCTGTACCTGTACTTTGAACATCTCACAGGACACCTGAACGTCAGGATGGGTGTTGATGTCTCCGTGCACAGATCCTGCGCAGAAACCTGCAGTCTGAGAGCAGAAGACAAGATATATATAAATATATATAAAGGCAAAAGGATAGAGTAGGGACAGTGAAAAAATATATAAATAAGAAAATAGGAGAAGACCTGTCAGCCTTCTTTAATAAAAGAATCAATTACTGAAGCGTTTTAGTGATGGCAGTTTTAAAAGTAGAAATTAGTCTGTCATCTCATCAAGTAGCACTTCCAGGAGCTGCTGCAGGGACAGTAAACAAGATGCTGCTGTTTATTTGAGTTTTCAGAACAACATTCATTAGTGGCATGACTGTCAGATTGTTATCATAGTAATCCTTTTTTTTTTTTTTTTTTCAATTAATGGAGTATCTTTAGACAGTATTGTTCTATGATATTGCTGTTCCGAGCCTTTTTGTTTTTATATCTTTCTATCATGTCTGTCTTTTGTGGATTGAAATCCAAAACTGAAATAATACGGGAATGAATGAGACTATCAAAGTACATTTTTTCATAAACTGAACACTAACTGTATGTGTTCCTATAGCGCTTACTTCTTAAGCTAAATAAACTGTTTACTGTTTTATCTGTAAAATACATTTTCACAAAGCTGAAAACAGGGCTGTTTTTCTTAACTCTGCTTTTGGCAGCAGCAGTATGTTTAATATGTCAAGGTAATGTCTTTGAATATGTACCTCTGTGTCAGAGTTGAGTGTCAGATGCTGGCAGGTGCCTCTTTCTGTCACCCCCTCTGGACACTCTTGGACTGTGTACTCCACAAAGCTGGCTTTCACTGGCACAACCTACAATACAAAAATAATATGGTACGAAAAGAGCAAATTGAACAAATGAACACATATAAACACACACACTGGCAGATACAGAGGCGGTATGGTTTTTTGCTGTAATGTAATGGCTATCAGCTTGGTTTTAGAGCTCAAAAGATGTAAGATCATATGCAAAGAGGAGCAATATACTGAGCTTGATTGCCCAAGAGAACTATTCAGTTTCTCATTTGCTCCCCAAACAAAAGCCCGGTAAGGTCTAAAGTGCCTTCAGTAATCCTTTGCAACCTTGCCAGACTCTTGCATCATTATGGCTATTGTGGAGCAGTAATGGTTCTCATCTAGCACACAGACACTCAAAGGTGCAGTGTACTGTCTGTTCATATACGCCCAGAGATTATTCTTAAGTATAATTTGTCAATAAACACAACAGTCAACACATTGTTGTGTAGTGAAATCAGCCCAAGAGCTTTGTCTCTCCCATCAAAGTTAATAAGCATGTGTGTGGTTGCACCTGGGCTGCAGCTCTGGTGATCCTCTTCACACCAAGTCCTGCACGAAGTTTGGACTGTCTCTTATAGGACGTCAGAGTGACCTGAGCAGTGCTCATGGCCTGGGGGCTGTCCGTGGGGAGCAGGAGGGGGCAGGTTGGACAGATCTGCTGGAGCTTCCCTGGGGGATCTGCATGGAGCAGTAATACAGATGGTTAAGGAAACATTTGTGCTGAAATTAAAACAAAACAAAACAACATAACAAAATACTGTGTGCAGAATATATTGCGTAGAAATGTATGGACACTGAATTAAAACAATAACATCTATAGTTAATATGCATCAACCTGCTCAGGTGTTTTCAGGTTAAACTTCTCAGGATTGTGTGGGTGTGTACTGGTCATGTTTAATTGATATCACTAGTTTACTTAAAGCTTCAAGATTAGTAAAAAGAAACAACAATTTAGCACAGGTCTAAACAGCTACAATAACTCAAGTGTTCATAGTCTTTAAGTGATCTAAAAATAAATGATATATAAAATCTCTTTGTTTCACTTGGGATCAGAGTGAAACAAACAGACAATTTCATGGCTGACACTTTGATTTGTTATAGCAGGAAATGCACAGGTGTAACTAATTACATTAATCAAGGCTCAGTTCCATTTAATTGTTCCAGTAAGTCATTATTAATGTTATTAGTTACACCTGTGTGTGACAAATTCAAACGTCTACAGTGAGAAATTTCTCTTCTATTAAACTTGAGCCTTGTATACCGAAAAAAACCTCATGACCACAGATTGTAGTTTAATTCTTTCAAGCCTTGACGTGTTTTCTTCCTCTCAAATTTTCCATCTTGTTGTCAAATCAGCACCAGCAGTTGCAAGTTGCTACATTTATTGATTAAGCGAAAGGCGTAGGCCTATTTCACATAACACGATTTGGTACAATTGATACAGTTTGGATTCTAAATGATTATCATCTTGTAAAATTTAACTTGTTTTAATTACAAGGAGCCTCTTGAGGTCACCAGCGTTTACACTAACTGCCAATCTGTGCAGTTTGTATCAAACTGATGTATGACAAGTGTGAAACTAGTAATCTAAGTGTATGTTGATGTTACCTGGCATTAGAGTGCAGTCGTAGCTGTACAGGTAGGAGTAGCCCTCTGGTGTGTGGAGAATGGTTGTGTTGCAGTTGCCGGAGATTTGCTGAAAATAATAAAACAGTCTTTGTACAATCACAACCAACATCAATAGAGAGATTTGTCAACATGTGATGTAACTAAATTGTAAAAGTCCAAGAAAAAACAACACTCTAAATGTGTGTGTGGTCTAGTACTTCTATCTATGTGACGACCAAAGTGTGACATTGTTGGCGAGTGAAAACATTTTGGCTTGTCTTCCCTCTTCAAGGGGCTGCTTATGGGTAAGATTCTGTTTTTAAGTTTCAATTTAGAATTAGGTTTTAGATTGGGGTCTGCACTGCAAAAAACCCTTAACAAACAAGCAAAAATATTTGTAATTTGTAATATTTTTATCCCAATAACTGTATGACCAGTATTTAATAGTATCACACAAACCATGGCTACCAATGACTTTAAGCCAGATATTTAGGATAAAGGTGCTTAAAACTGTAGTGTTTTCAGATAAGATTTTGTAGTGTAGTTAATGGATCATGTCAGTGAGGGTGCTCACAAGTACAAATACTTGTGTTTGAGTGTGTGTGTGTGTATGTACCGTCTCCATGAATGGTCTGACGTCACAACGTTTCCATGGTTTTGGGCTGCCTATGTGACACTTGGTCTCCAGGACATCCAGGTCCAGATAATACACATTGCCTGCTGGGCCCTGACATGCACAATGCAAACAGTATGTAACAGAGAGGAGGTACAAAATGCAAAGCAGCAATACAACATAACTAAATAGAAACATTACATAATTTGCTGGTGTATATCTGCGGCTCAAATTCAAGAGAAGTCGTCTGTCACATACCTTCATTTGCTCAGTTACGTCTTAAAGGAGCCATTTATGAGATACTCTGTGTAATTCCCTATAACACTTTGTTCAATATTGATTTGAGCTGTAGCACTGAAAACAAATGTTAACACTTTGGGCAGGTGTAATGGCAGCTTTCAGGTCATGAAGTTGTACTGAGCCTCTTAAAACCTGATCTATCCCACAGTCGGGCTACAATAGCCTTCAGCAGCTGACAGCATGACGTCCATAAAGCCTGTTGTGCAAGGTTTGTCCCAGCAGTCCTGGACCAAAATGACCTGGACTTTATTAACAGACACTTCCATCCTAAAGGCCTTTTTTCATGAGGCGTGAAAGAGGATGGCTTCTCATTTCACGACATAAAATTACGTACTTCAGTTTTAACGTTACATTTATCATAAGCGACATGCACTGATGGCGGTCATTCACAGCAAAACGCAGACAACAAATATTTATAGTTGTTTTTATCCTTTAGTGGTTGCACGTTAATGTAACCACTGCTATTTTTCATGTCTTTGATGTAGTCCAGTGGTTGCCAAACTGAGGTCTGGGGACTCCAATAAGTCCTTGAGAGGCAGAGTTTAATTTCATCATCATTTCCAGAGTCAGTGCATTGTGACAGTGCAAGAGGATGATTTCTGATTAGGACTTTGACTCTGCACAGTCATTTCTAACAACAAAACATAAATCTTATCAAATGGAGTCCCACTGACATGAAGATTGGCCACGGCTGGTTAAATCTATCAGTGTGTGACTCTTTTTTTTTTTTTTTTTACAAGTGTTTGGGTATTTCAGCAACAACAGAAGGGAAAATAACCTTTCGACACTACTTCCTTTGTTAAATGTGTACAAATCACCCACTGATAGAAATGTACAAAAACCCCAGACAGCTTTCCCCAACAAGCATTTGTCTTCATACTAACCTGAGCATGCAGGTGGACATTTGCAATGCGGTTGAGGGCAAACTTATAGCCATCGTTGCGATCTTCATTGATGTAAGTGACAGCCAGACGAGACAGCTTCTCCACTGCTTTGTCATTACAGGGGGTTGGAACAGGTTCACTTGGTGCCAGTGCAAAACCTTCACCATACACAACGGATAGCAGGGATAACAGCAGGATTAATGTACAGATGGAATCAGCCATGTTAGCACAGATTCAGACGGAAACTAAAACACAGAGCTGGTTTAAAGTCAAGTTTGTTCTCTCATGTTTGCGTTCAGCCGAGGCAGTGACTTTTGGAATCAAAACAGGACACACATGTTGGAATGGAGCCAAGGACAGAGTTTATTTAATGGCAAAGAGCTGATATATGTGAATGAATGTCCAAGTGATTCATTTAAAGTGCGGCGCATTCATTCATAGACAAACAGAATGAATGCCAAAAATGTAATTAATGATACTCCTATATTATATGCCTGAAATAATAACTTTTAAGACTGTTTTATTCTCAGTACACGAGTCATTTTAATCCTTTCTGAAATGTGTCTGTGGTGTATGTACATAAATTAAGTCCAATATGCCCCTCATTATATTAGAACCAACACCACAGAATCACTGTATATAATGGGTCATTTATTGTGGTTGTAATATCAGCAACGCGCCACTAGGGGTCAATGTGAGTCTGGTGTGCTGCACTGGAGGGAAATCTGGCAAAGCTGTTTGTCCACCAGGCAGAATTGGGTTAATGATTCACTGATATCGAGTTAATTACTTTCAGCATTACACTTGCTGTTGTCTTAGGAACTTGTAACTCTGATATCTGTGTTTTCGGCCTTAATTATACTGAAAAACCCAATGGCCCTTGATTTCACTGAACTTACTTCATCATAGTTAAAAGAGCAATGGTAATTATTTCAGCTGTTTCACATCAGTATGTTACAGCGTCGACCAAAAATAATTTGGAAGAATTTCATAAAAATGGGATGTAAATTTTTTATTTTTTTTATTTCATAGCAGTAAAAGGGCAACCAGACTGTGTGTTGGGTGGGGTTCACACTTTTGAAGCAGTCAGATTGGTTCCATTGTTCACAACAAGATCGATTAATGTCTGTGACTGCAGTTGAGTACAGACCTTTACACAAGCAGCACACACACAGTCTCTATCTGTCACAAACACACATTTTTACTGAGATTTATAAAAAAACAAAACATGAATGACTTAAAAATCTTTTCTGTGAACACAAAGGAAATAAGACTTTTAAAGCAATTGCGCAACCTTCTGGTGGAGAGTTGATGAGAGGATTTATACCACTACCACCACCATCTGTCCAATAAATCTGGAGCTGGGAGACAGTTAGCTTAGTTTAGCATAAAGACTGGAAATAGGGGGAAGCAGCTAGCCTCGCTCTGTTCAATGGTAACAATACCAGTACTTCTAAAGCTCACTTACTAATACGTTGTATCCCATTTGTTTAATCCACACAAAAACCAAAGTGTAGAAATTACAATTCTCTGTTTTGCAGGGATTATGTGTCAGACTATTTGTTCGCTGGGGGCTACTGCAACGCATAATCCCCTGTAAAATGGCGAATTGTAATTTTTACTTTGGTTTGGTATGAATTAAACAAACAACATATAACCTGTTATTAAATGATTATGCATGGCCTTTTGTTAACCTTGGGACAGAGCCAGGCTAACTGTTTCCCCCTGTTTCCAGCCTTTGTGCTAAGATAAGCTAACCCTCTGCTGGCAGTAGCTTCATTTACTATTCAGACATGGGAGTGGTGTCAGTCTTAGAAAGCACACAATTAGGCCTACTGAGATTTACTGTACAGGAATCCAAGGTAAGTAGGAGCAAGGAGAGGTAGGAAGCTAAAAGCATTTAAAAGACCTCTTTTAAAGACTCAAGTCAAGATAAACAAAATTACATTAAAAATAATTAATAAGGGACAGATAGACTACTACAAAATAAATTAGAGATAAAGAAAAAAAATGTGTATAACAATTATTTCTCATTCAGAATGTCCCACAGTCAACACTGTGATTGGATGCTTGTTTAAGATGCAAGAAATAAAGTACAATATGTAAGTTTGATTTCCACAACACCGCGGCTCCATCTATGTATAGATATGTCTCGATACAGTCTGAGACCACTTTCCAACCACACTTTTGGACCCCAGTGAATATCTAAAAAAATTTAACCAAAAAAATAAAATTCAGCCACATTAACACGAAGAACATGAAGCTTTTCCACTCTGTCTAATTAGCAGGCTATGAATGAATTACTGAATTGGTTTGGTGAAAAATTATGAAAAGTCTGAGGAATGAGTGATAATAAACATCCATGTCTGTAGTTCGTTGATACCAAAGACCAGTTCAAACATGAATGATGAATGATCTTCTCACCTAACTCTCTACAACAAAACAAAAAAAATCTTATTTCCCAAAATGTCAAACTATTCCCTTAAACTATTGCCATTCCAAGCTGCCATTCATCCTGAGGTTTGCTGTAAACAATTTGAGGCCATGATTATCAGCTAAAAAACAGTTTGTTTGTATGTTCGATGTGGGTGATTTGTGGTGTTTTTGGTTGAAAGTATCTACCTTGAGTAGTTAAAATATTTAATATCAAAATTCAAGTGTAGTGGGCTCTTTTTGCGAGCATCTGTCCAGGGATAATCATTTAATCCATTTCAAATATTCACTGAACCAGGTTCAGCTCTCAACAGCGGCTGGAGGAGGGTGAGAGAGACTCACTCAGCAGAACAAATTCTACTAATATCAATGTTGTGTGTGTTATTGTGCGACTGTGTGAGCTTGTGCGTGTGTTTTCATACAAGAGAATGTGCACTGGTGTTTGTCAGTGTGCACATTTGACCGTGCAGAGCCATGCATGCATGCGTCAGTGTTACCGGCAGCCTGTTGTGTTGCAGCAGAAAGCAGAAAGAGTCTGTGGGGGAGAGATAAGAACGGCGAGGCTGCTCCAAGGACTCGCTCCACCAGCACATCGCCAGACCCAAGTTAGACAAACCTCCTTTGATGTGAGCACAGAGTAATCTCCTCTTCTGCTCGCTGCAGAGAGATGCCACAATGTAGTGATGCCCAGCCCCAGATAGGATGGGGCTGCTGCCACTGGGGTTCCTGCTGTTCACTTTGTACAGTGATGGGCCTGGGGAAAGAGAGGAGAGGAGAGGAGAGGAGAGGAGAGGAGAGGAGAGGAGAGGAGAGGAGAGGAGAGGAGAGGAGAGGAGAGGAGAGGAGAGGAGAGGAGAGGAGAGGAGAGGAGAGGAGAGGAATTTCCAGTGAAACCTATTTTGAAATGTTTCACTGGAGTTACTCATGCTGGAAAGTTTTACTCTGACATGGTTTAAATCCTCTTTCAGGGAAGTTCATTTGTGTTGTTTTCAGTGGACAATTTCAGTCTTGCACGGTATAAATGCTGTTTCACAGACCTTTCCACCTTATCAAAAACACATTTCTGGGGGAAATACTGGCAGAAATCTCCTCCTGTGTCACATCACCTGCCAGTAGGAGAGGAGGAGAATTGGTGCAGTAAAGAATACTGCACTGCACATTTAAGAAAAAAAAAAGGCAAATGCCATGTCTCCTATTTCTCTTTCTAATCACATTCTGTCTGGGATTTGTGTGTCTCAAAGTATTTACACTTTGTCTTTTATCATTACTTTGTCCATCTCTAACAGATACGTGTGGATGAATAGAACAAAATTACAGGATGGCAGCCAGCCTTTATCTTTTGCAAATCATCCTCTTTATCTCCATATCACATGCTTTCATTTACAGCCACACTTTCTCTGCTTTTGTCTTCTCTTTGGCTTTTTTTTTTAAATCTCTTTCTCTGTCATCTTATTGGTCACAGTCTGCACAGAGAAGGAAAGACATTAAGATGGAGAGAGAAGAGGAAGAGGGATAATTCTCTCATTTAATTGGTTTCAAACTTTTTCTCCCCTGAAAGACCTGCATCCTACATTGTTGGAGCCAAAACATGGACACTGATGCTAAACCCATTCAATTTCACTGTAATTGGTCAGGCCATGAGCTCACATTAGCAAAGCTTCCACAGTTGATTGGCATTCTCTGCAGCAGTGGTCACAAATCCCTGTCATTTTTCTTGGATAAAGTAGTCAGCTTTAGACTCTTAATGTCCCCATCATGCATTCAGCTTCTCTTTCTGCAACCACAGGAAGTAAATGAGAGCAGAACACCTGCACTGAAACATTAGTTGGAACTCCAAAAGATTTGCGTTTTTATTCCCGCATCCTGTTAACAACAGAGAAAGACAAATGTTATTTATCTTTTTGCACCGTGACACTGCTGAGACCTGTGTTTTTCACACACACCACCTACCTCAAATGTAATGTCTTGCTCAGGTGGCATTGAATGAATTTCAAGGTATACTTGAATGAATACAGTTGTAACTTAATACAACAGAACTATAAAGAAAACACTCTTCGGATTGTGTTGAAAGACTGTTAAACTCCATCATATTATGATTCACTATGATATGATATGATATTTTGAAACATGCGATATAATGTTAAGCAGCTAATTATCATGATAATTGTGTATTATGTTTTAGTGTAGTATGATGTTCCTTTTAAATCTACAGGCTGATGGAAAAAAAAGGTGGTGGAAAGAAAGAAAGTTTAAAGGGGCTATTTGTACGTCGTTTCTTGCTGGGAGTGAGTGGTGGTAATAATTGACACTTGGCAAGAGCTTCGGCGATTATTGCCTGCATAAAAAAAGTGATAGTACGCCCTCTAAGCGTATTATAATGTCTTCAGGACAGATTGGAGGTTATAGTGAGTTGCAGACAACGCTTAGTGAGTAAAGGAAAGAAGTTTGATCCTGTACTCACAATACTTCTTCTCAACTGGTAAGTAAACAGCTGTTAATGCTAACAGTGGCTATGTAGCAATAGCAAAACTTACAAATAAGTTGTTTAAAGCTACATTGGATATTTTTAGCCACTAGGGGGCAAAAATCTTAAACGAGCCAATAGTTACCATGATAGAGTCATGTGAGGGCAACTGGACGATTGTAAATCCAACATTTACTCTCTGAGATGTTCAACTTTCTTCCCCTGTGAATTTTTCTGCACTTGTTGTTGAAACCAGTTGCTTGCCGCAGCTGGAAATGGGCTCGACCATTACTGGTCCATCCATACAACCAAAACACTGTTGAAATGAGGCTCCATGGAGCTGAAGTAGAGAGGGGTGATAAGTCATCATTACCCTCTGTC